TTTAGTGGCACTCACCGAATATTACAATGTATGGCATCGTGAATATTGTTCATCATAAAAATCAACATCATAAATAAAGCAATCATTATTGATTGGAAAACCCAACTTTTTTTTCGATTTCAAATCATTCATATATTGGAGTAGTCATATTTATGTATATCACGGAGGACGATAGTCCGACAAGTGACGCTCCATAGACTGTGCATGTATCAAATATCAAAAATGCCAGTTTTTGCGTCACAGTAAGTATGCTATTTTCTCAGGACACTATTTGGGCCCCGGCATGTTGGTACCGTTGGAAAGGTCTTGGCCCAAATAGTCGGAAACGCCATATCAACCATGCCTAAAGTATGGTTCTTCGGTTTCCGATGCGCATATGCCTAAGTTGTAGATAGTGTCGGGGCACGTTGAAATCCGTCCTCCTTGACATTTGCATTACAGGAGAGCTGGCTATGGCTTCACTAGCCTGCTTGTATACGATTTTTTCAAGAATTAATTTCGCACACTAGATCAACTCAGACACCCATCGGGCAAAGTCAGCTCGTAATTATTTGAGAAGACCTTCAGAAAGTTCCATACACACATGCCAATGTTTATGTGATATAAAAGAAAAAAGTCGATTTTTATGGAAAATCGACCCCCTTAAATTTCACACCAAACGCGATTTCTCAAAAATCAGCCCTACAATGTGTTACCAAAAACTGAGCGTTTGTAGCCAGCCACCATACCAACAAAATGGCATATGCCACATATCCGGGAAAATTCGTATTTCGAAGTTCTGGGCATAGGCAATTCATCAATGAACGGAATTTGTACGAAGAGTCGCATTCTACGATGAAATCGCTGCCAAAAATACGCATCTACTGGCTGAAGAAGGCTCACGAAAGACCATATCCGCTCAATTTTCGACGAGCAATCGATTAAAAGTGGTCACAATGCGATCTGAGGCCATTTTATGGTCGAAAAATAGGTCGGATTGAAGTGAATTTTTCAACTTGCTCTATTTTCACTGAAAATGATGTTTTTGTTCGGGAAACACGTGAAATAGACCTCTGACGACATTTTGGTCTTAGAAAACTGCTATTTTTTCGTGAAAATAATGGGAGTCCACGAACACTTGAATATCCATTTCGTTGTCATTTTGGTCATAAATCGCCATTTTGGCATCGCCATTTTGGCATTGACCATGTATGTAAGAAAATAGGAAGCAAAATTAGCGTAATGGGAAGATTAAGAAATGAATTGAACTGCAGCCAAAAACTAAATTTGTATAAGTCAATTATAGAACCACATTTTACTTATTGTGCTTCAATTTTGTATTTATCCAACAACACAGATATAAGTCGTTTACAAAAATTACAAAACAAATGCATGAGACAGATATTGCGAATGAACAGTTTTTCAAATAGTGAAGCAATGCTAAGTACCTTAAATTTATTAAATGTAAACCAGATAATTTCATTCAGAACTTTAACATTTATATTCAAAATAATCAAGGGGCTGGCACCAAATTATCTAACTGAAAAAATAATTTTTAAGCATGAAACCACAAACAGAACACTAAGAAACACAAATGAAGTTTGTCTGACAGATGCAATTAAGGCTTGTAGCCAAAACTCCTTATTTTATAAAGGAATTAAATTATTCAACACACTTCCGATAGAATTAAAAAACCAAGAAAATTTAAATCAATTCCAAACAATGTTGAAAACATACGTCAAAGAAAATTTTTAATTGTTAATGCTGTTTTTATGGAGAAATCTAAATAAAATAAACATATTATATTATTATGTATGAAATTGAACTTTTGCTCGGGGGATACATAAGAAATACACTTTCCAGACCTTTGGTGGTTGGAAATTAATATGTTTCAATGAAGTAATGGGTCTAAAATTACTTCAACACTCTTTTAATGGATATTTTGAAATTTAATCACATTTTACAATGTCCAATAAGGGGAAAATGGGACTTTTTTTTGATGAAAGTGGAAATTTGCTATTTACGAAACTTGTGAAATGTGGATGCAAATGTTTAACCCGAAAAATTACAATTTCCCAATGATAAGACCTTAAAATAGACATATTTCTGGCAAAAGTGTATTTTTTCCGAGAATAATTGCCTTACAAAATTAGTGATATCAGATGAAAAACCTCTAGACGAGGTTAAAATGGAGTGACGCTCCTGTGTGTGGATTTAGCACTCAAAATGACTGATATCATTTTGAGTGACGCTAGGACGCTGGTTTATCTCTGGATACAAAGTTCAAAAGTATTTTTCGCATTCACTATTGTGAAAATTCACTCACAATAAGGAAAAATATCGCGTCACGACTTTTAGACGACAAAACGCTTGAAAACTTGATCTAAAATCAAAAGTCGTGACGCAAGATATTTTTCCTTATTGTGAGTAAATTTTCACAATAGTGAATGCGAAAAATACTTTTGAACCTCGTATGTAGTGATAATACAGCGTCCTAGCGTCACTCAAAATGATATCAGTCATTTTGAGTGCTAAATCCACGCACAGGAGCGTCACTCCATTTTAACCTCGTCTAGAGGTTTTTCATCTGATACAATACTCTAGCGGTCACATTTCCAAGGAACTGATGATGGTTTTTTGGTCAATTTTGCGGTGCATTCTCATTGGAATTTTGGTAATTTCTGTTTATTCAAAGATAATGATTTGTAGACTCGGCAACAATTCCAAATAACATTCATTTGTTGAATACGGCTTGCTGCGGCTTGCATTCAGTTTTGGTTTGGAATTTTAGCTGCTCTGAGCCTAAGAATCTGAAGCTCTGGTTTTTAAAAAAAAAATCCATCCAAGTTGCGAAAATCCAATTTTCTGTACCATTCGTTGAGAATCGATTCAATTCAATAGAACCGATTCATGACTTGATCCATGGAAATGTCGACGAAAATTCAACTGACCCTCTGCATTTTATACGTTTTGTGGATTGTATGCAAAGGAAGTGTTGCACTAAATGAATTCAAGGCACAACAATCAAACGATAAATCGCTTCGGACAATGGAAGTTTCTTCGCTTCACTACGAACCATTCATCTATCAAGAAAACGGAAAGTACAAAGGAATCGAATACAAACTTCTAGAAACGATCGCTAAAAAAGAGCATTTGGATGTTTCGTTTCGATTTCACGAGCGGTTTGATCGTCATCTGCCTAGGTAGAGTGTGATCTTCGTCTGTATCGATTTATATCAACAAAAGTTTCATGTTCGATTTTACTGAATCATTTTTATTTGTTCCAATTCCATAGCAATGACATTAGCATCGGTGGATTTTTCCCAAATCCAACAAATTCAACCGAATACATATTTTCAAAGCCCTATTATCAGGACGATTTAACGTGGTGTATACAAAAGTCCAAAAATTTCCCAATGGTCATTAACGTATTCTTAGCGGCAACGCCAGAATGTTGGATTTTATTGATATTTGGAATCGGCTATGTTTCTGGCTTATTGATTTACATTATGATTCAATTCGATTTTAAGTATGAAAATCGAAATCAACGCGACTGGCATTACACTACTTGGCTTGTCGCATTGCCGGCTGTCATTGGACTTAATCAACGATTCCATCCGAAATCTATGTCAATACGAATATTCTACGGTTTCATTTTGATCATGATGATTTTCCTTTGGCAAATTGTTTTTTACTTCGGTATTCGATTTGTTAAAGTTCCGATTCAGCGTCAACAAGTATCAACAACGGCTGAACTAATCGATTCGGAGTACCGTTTGGCTGGTTCACATGAATTGATTGATTTGATAAAGTTTGATGAACGGGTAAGCTTTTCCGGTAAGCTTTTCCGGCTTTTACACAAAATTTTCTTTTTATTTTCAGTACCGGAAATCCCAAATCGATTCATTCTTCGTTTGCCCGAATATCGATCATTGTTTGGATCACTTGAAACACGATGACAATGAATTATTAGCGATCGGAGGCTCTCGTCAGCGTATTCTGAACAGTCAATCTTATTCGCCCGCAGGAATATTCTGCTTCGATCGCGAGAGCATCGCGAGTTTTCAACCGGCGATGCTGATGCGCAAGGACTTCGCCCTGAAACGAAAAATCGATGAAATCATTCGCAACGCATTCGAAAGTGGATTGTTCGTGAAGTGGGATCGAGACAGTCAACGGAAAAAGGAACGTGTGATTCCATTTGAACCATCAGTAGTGTTAAGTGTAGAAAATATAGCAATGCCACTTGTGTTTGCGATTGGTGTTGGTTCTCTAATGGCAACTGCAGCGTTTTATTGCGAAATTCTAATCAGTCGAAAAATCAAAGAAAATGCACCGTCTCGCCATTGGGTGTATTTGGAACAGTTTTTCGATGGTGAACGCCATTATTTGAAAAATATGACGGAGAAATTGCAAAGTAGAAAGAATAAGAATAGAAAGATAAAGAAAATTGGATTGCTACGAAAATATCAGAGGAGATTTAAAAATCGATACTTGGTGAAATCAAAAAAATAATCCATTTCCAATTTAAAATTTTAGTAACGGAGTACGAAGCGCTAATCGACTATGGACTATCATCTTTGGTCGTTGATTTCCTATAATCGTTATGTTTATGTACAAGGCATATTATAAATGCAGTGGAAAATAAACCGTGTCGTCGCATCAAAGCTATTTATCCCATCGATTATGACATTGAGTTCCATCAGACTCAAGAAGTCATCGAATTCTCTTGATAACAATCGATTTGAGTCTTTTGTGTGAACACGTTCAAATCCATTTCGATTAGTTTCACATTCGTTATTGTCGAGGGATTTTATTCAACGTTTAGCACACATTTCCATGTCTACAACGGCACATTTTTGGCTATTTTGATTTTCTTGACTTTAAAATTGATATTTGTAAACAGTTTTGTTTTGAAAGTGCTTGAATAAAGATAAATTCATTGCTTTGAAGTAACAAATACGAATCTTTGACATTGGGTGATGGAGCGGAACATGAGGTACATATACAGAACACTGGACTTTTGTATACAAAAGTATTGGTGTTTCAATTTGTTTTGACAGCATCCGAAAATGTTTCGTTTTGCATGAATTTCGTGAATATCGAATACGAAATTTGGAAATATCAGTGGCGACAACACGACGACATGAAATCAAAATGTCATCGTGGTAATTAAGCTTTTCAATTCTAATGGCGGCAGCAGCATCGAAGAAAGTTTGAGCAAATGTGCAAAAATTTCTATTATTTCTTCTTATTTATTGAAATTGTATGAAAATGTATTGAAATGACGATTTTGCTTGGATAAAAGTGTTCTGGAAGTGGGTTTTGGAAGATCCTCAGGATGGACCAGATTTGGTTTGACATTGCCCTGGCCTATCCTGAAGATCCACTTCCAGAACCGGGAGCAGTTCTGAACGATCCTTGAGATCCACCAAAACCCACCTCCAGAACAACTTCATTGAAGCATAAATCAAAAGTTCAGTGTAAATATACATTTATTTACACGAATTGACAAAAATTGATCAAATCGGACCGAATTGAAGAAATTTTTCAAAATTTATAAGAATTCATTCATTTTTTTCGTGAGAAATCCCCCTAGGCATTCGATCGTTATCGAAAATTAAATCGTACCAATGTCAAAGAAGTTGAAATTTTTAAAGTTTTTTTCTGTTTTCAAGAGGTAAGTTTGGTTTATTGGTTGCACCACAGGTTTTGTGTTTGCATTACATAGTGTGGCAGAGTGTTCATTACTTTCTCAAAAGAATGTCAATTCTATCTAGAGAGTAAAACTATTCTCAGAAAAAAATGAAAAGCAAAGACAGGTCATCACAAAATTTGATGATATTCTGTCCTGCCAGTGTTATTTCATGCTACTTTTTCTGCAGATTAAGGATTGGAGCCTCAAAAATAGCAACCCAAAATGCTACATCAGGTGAAGAGCGACACAATGACGCAGTCAAGCCAATGACTCTAGCAATTCCCGAAGGGCCCAATGCACCAGGCGAAGAGCAACCAAATGACGTATTCGGGCTGAAACAAAATGAGAAAATGACACTAAAAATTCGTGGAGAGCCGAATAAAGCTACCAATCTTACCGACCTGGAATACGATTGTCTCGAGGTTATCTTCAAAAAGTTGGATATCCGTGATTTGTTGAACGTGGCCGATACCAGCAAATATTTCAAGCAAGCCGTCGAATTGGTGTATGTGAGCAAATATAGGAAAAGATTGGTCCTCATCGGTCAAATTGAAAGATTGCATGGTCATCCATATATTAACAAATATTTAGGTATAATTCAACTCGTGAATTTATCAAGTGCACTAAGGTTTCTGCGTTGTTCTGGACACTTGATGACCCAACTGAATATTGGGTACAATTTAAACCACCGGGATAAAATAGAACGATACGTAAATGAATTCTGCAGCAATTCATTGGATTATATTGGATTAACACCTCACAAAACCATTCTCGAAAGTCAGCTCTCTTAGATTCATAACACATGGATCAAAAAGTTTCCGGCCTGACACATAGAGGGCACC